TATAGAAAGTTATTTGTAAAACGTAATTTAGAAAACAGATGAAAAAATTATAATATGGTAGATTGCTACTTGACCAAACTAAGAAGTAAATGTGTACTTAAGAGAAAAAAATAAAAAATAAAATATAAATATGAAAAAAGTAATTCATGTTTAATACCAAGTTTAACTCCAGAGAAAAAATGAATATATAAACAACATTGCAAGCATAGATTTTCGTCATTTTAACATCCGAAGCGTAAAAATCTGCAACTTAAACTTAACATGTTTTGAATTAATATATAGGGAGACAATTAAAAAAAAATCTAAACATTTTTATTTTTTTTTAAATAAAGATTGTATTGCCAAATGAGAATCCAAAACAAGAAGTTCACCAAAACTCGGTCTAAGCAGTGTTTCCTAGATTTGAAAGTGATCGATATTTTCTTGAAGTCTAAAATGTCATTAGGTTTACAAACTTTTGGTCTAAAATGTATTTCACAGGCCTTGAAAGTGATCTTCACTCGAATTCTTCCTAAAACCCGACTTATACAGGTACTCTTTTCCCCCGATAACGATCGAACAACTGCAAAGAAACACATTGAAATGTAAGAGAAACACACCGTGACAGGATATTACATGAATGTTGTAGAAATTAAAAAATATACGAGTAACATCTAATTCAAAAATATAAACTACATATCTATGAGTAACACAACACAGCAGACTCCCCAGGCAAGCTTTGGATGCAAATCGATACTTTGAACTAATTATAGGACTATCTGCTTTCTACTCTTCTATGTTAAATTTCAACGAGGAAAATTTACAGTAATTCTGGAGTAAAAAAATTAATATAATAAAGTACTTGGCCACAACCCTGCTAGCACCTCGTACATGTGGAAAGCAAACAGTGTGTTTCTGCTTAGTCGTCATTCAGCAGAAGTCATCGGGCCTTGCAGGTGCCTTTATCTTCTAGTCGTTCCTTACGTTTATTAATTTTTAGTCTAGACTGATTATGGTGGTACTCAATCGAACAACAGCTAGTTGGCTCAAGCAAGACATCCAACATAAAAACACAAAAATGTCGCTACATTTTTTATTTTAAGTTCCTGCCAAAATTTTGAGAAATGAAACTGAAAAGAGAAGTGTAACTGCTTGGCACAACAACCATGTCCTCCACAATAACTATACGCAAATTGTTTTAAAAAAATAGTAAAAAGGGCCTACTAAAACCAGATTAATGCATGAGATTACATCCAGCAGTAGCTTCTATAACAAAATCAGTAAAAACAGCTGATTGACATTGGATATAATGCATGGATTGCATCAAATCAAATAGATTTGGCTATGAATTACGAAATGACAACTAACATTAACTTCCGGGATGAATTTTACTTGAACAAATTAAAAGCTTCTACTTTGTCCATTGCAAATGAAGTTGGAAGAGTCATTGTTGACAATTCCCTGACATTTCAAAATGGCTTAATTAAATTCTAGTGCTTCTTATATTAGTGAAGTTTTTAGAAAAAAAATATATCAAACAACGCAATGCACCTTGGGTCGCTACGGAAACAACAGCCTCTTTGTAATAATTATAAGGGTAAAGTCTGCGTACAACTGACCCCTCAGACCCCAACCAGTTGGGAATATACTGGGTATGTTGTTGTTGTTGTAAATTAAAAGCTTCTATGTGGCAATTCAAAATTCTATCTATATAATAATTCCATTCAAAACTTCTAGAGGTGGCAATTCAAGGTTCTATATTGATTAACAATCTCAGTTGAAACTTATGGAGGTGTTAATTTATGATGTTGATTATCAATCCATCAATCAACTAAATTAAATATTAAACTGAAAACCCATGCCAATGAAACCAAGTAGAGGCACACATAGAAATCTCACATAGAAAGCAATATATTATAATGAGGTAAATATCATTGCTCCATACATTGCAAATGACAAAATGAGACATCAATGCAAACATACCGATCGGACAAAAGGTTGCTGGAAGAGCCAACCAATAATAGGAATCTTCTGGAGGAAGACAGCCAGTGTCGGCCAGAAACCACTATAATTTTAAATGAAATATTAAATTTCTCTCCCATAATATAAGGATGTAGAGTAAAATAAAGTCGAGCCAATAAAGATGGCACACACCTGAACAACACTACGAATCCGTAAGCCTCAACAATCATTCCTATTATGGGCCATCCGATGATGACTAAGAAAAAGCCAACACCAAATGATATAGTCCCCTGCATTGTTATGAAAAACATTAAAAAAAACTGCATCGCGACAAAAAACATCGAAAATTGAGCAAATCAAGAGGAACGTCATAATTGCGAGAAACCTTAAAATTCGAGCGTTTCATAAAGAACTGCATGGATGACTTAAGGCCAATGGTTAATATCACCCCTGCCAAGAAGAGTATCTGTTTCGAATAATATGAGACAATATTAGGAAGATGAGCGATGTGAAGTATTCAATATGAAACATTTGATTGACTGCTTTAATAAACATACGTTTCCCATTGCCAGCAGTCCCTTATCGAAGAAAAAGATGACCCCCAAAATTGAAAAGAAAACTCCAAACCCCGTCAAACCAAGTCCAATTTCTGTTACAACAACCAGAAAGAAATAATTTGATCAAGAATGATTAAAAATTCTTTATGTGTAAGAAATACTATTTCAATTTATCATACTGCAATTAGAGTGTAAAAATTACAATGGAGACTCAGACAATGTAAACTCCACCACACATATGCTGTCAAAATGTCCATAGATAACTCAGATTTTATCATAAAGAATAACCTGAGAAATATAATCACACCTATGAGCTTGTGCAGCAACAGCAGAAAATTAACTATTACAGAGACTCCTCTTCAAATGTTTTCATGCACAGTTTGTCAAAAGGCAAGAAAAAATTTATATGAATTCAGTTGAATAAATTTGGGTTATCATAATTGGGGATAGCTTACTTTTTCGATCGTTCATCTCGAAGGACACCATTTTTGCCGATTTCAGAGTTCAACAAACTGCTACGTTTTCTCAGGTAGGCTCAAACTGCAGCCCTACACCCAGCAAATAATCACACAAGTAAAAAATACACACAAAAACACAAGATCGAGAGAGATAAAGGTTGAACCACTCATTTTCGCCAAAATAATCATAGTAATTATAATTTATTGCAGAGAAAATCAACCACAATAGATCCACCCGTTAACTTGCTTTACATTTCCTCAGTTTCATGCATCAATACACGAGTGTTGTTTCACCTAAGCAGAGAGTGAGACAGAGAGAAAGAGAGAGATCAAATAGAAAAACCTAACCGTGATTGGAAGTGATCAGCAGAGATTGATGGCACGCTGAGGATGTCTGAAAAGTTTCAACAACTTACAACGACTGGAGGGACGAAATTGCACAACTGAAAAAGAAACTCCTCTTCAGAAAGAGAATTTTTTCGGCCAAAAGACAAAACTAGAATCCTAATAAAATAAGAAGATTCCACAAAAGCAACCGAATGTATTGAGTTCCAATAACACCACAATTGAAGTTAATCAATAACCGATATCTATCTCTCTCTCCTATCTCCCTTCTCTCTCTTCGCGTTTTTTTCTCCATCTTCTTTCCTCTTATTCTTCTTCCTATTCTTACCTTGAATGATTTTTTAAGAAAGCACAAACAAATAAAATTAAAAAATATGAAAATATTTTATATAATATAAAGACAAAC